GTGGTACTTGTCGACCCACTGCATGTACTTGGCGGGGTCCACGGCGCCCTCCCCCAGGGACTTGAGCTCGGTGACGGACTGGGACAGCAGCCGGGCCAGCGTGACTCTCATCTCCTGCTCCACCAGCGTCAGCCACTCGTTTATCTTCGGGTTCTCTTTGATCGACACCGGAGAACTGAAGATCACCTGGGAAACAACATATCAACAGTTACTGTTAACTCTCATCTCCTGCTATCAACAGTTACTGTTAACTCTCATCTCCTGCTATCAACAGTTACTGTTAACTCTCATCTCCTGCTATCAACAGTTACTGTTAACTCTCATCTCCTGCTGTCAACAGTTACTGTTAACTCTCATCTTCTGCTATCAACAGTTACTGTTAACTCTCATCTCCTGCTTTACCAGCAATATATGATGACCAGCCCCTCCAACTCTGTCCTACCACTTGCTACACAAAGTAACCCAACACCACAGGGTGTCTGATACAGCACCAGTTACCATGGTGATAGCCAAGCCATCTGGTCCAGAGTATTGACCTTATGTGTTTAGAGAAGAAAAACCAGAGCAAAAACATATTTTCTCTCTACAATGGTGAACATAATGAGCCACCATGGCATTTTCCCATGCCCTGCATGTCTGCTTTTTCAGTAACTGTTGCTTACATTTTGTGAAGTTTGCTTTTATTGTTGTTTGTGTGAATAAATCAAATCAAGAACAGAAGACTTACTTCCTCGCCTTCCTTGGAAGACAGCCCCTTGACCAGAGTTGCGTCCTCATTCAGCACGATGGAGTTCACGCCTGCAAACATCTTCTTGAAGTGTTTCTGGAGCCGAGCGACGTTCTTGCTGTTCCCGATGATCTCCAACAAGTCTTCGTCTCCAACAAAGTAGAATCTGGAATCACCAACAAAACGTTTGTCGTTTTATGTCCCATTCATGGCTATTTCAAGCACTACTTCTGTCATGTGAAGTTTGAGATAATGTTGGTCTGAATAAGTCATTGCTACAGTGAGAATGACACTCGATTTGCAGATGTTTGTTCTCATAGTTACACACACAAGGATCTATGATTTAAAAAATCCAATCTAAGATTTAACCATAAACTGCTACTTATTTAAATACAAATGCCAGAATGAGTGTATGAATGAATGATTTACTGAGTAAGTGAGTGTGTGAATGAGCGAGTGAGTGACTGAGTGAATGAAAGGAGTGAATGAGTGACTCACCGTGGGAACGAGGACCTCTCCCGCTCCAGGTACTCCCCCAGGGCCTTCTGGATCTTGACTGAGTGAGTGAGTGTGGGAATGAGTGTCTGAATGAGTGAATGAGTGAATGAATGAGTGACTCACCGTGGGAAGGAGGACCTCTCCCGCTCCAGGTACTCCCCCAGGGCCTTCTGGATCTTGCCCAGCAGGTCGGCTAACCTCTCCAGCAGACGCTGTACGCCGGGGATGTTCAGGATGTCCAGCACCAGGGGGGCCTTGGCCACCTTCTTCATCAGGCCCAGGAACTCAGTACTGATGCTGCAGGAGAAAAGGGCAGGGTTAGCACCAGGGGGGCCTTGGCTACCTTCTTCATCAGGCCCAGCACCAGAGGGGCCTTGGCTACCTTCTCGGTGGCTATCATCTGTCACCTTCTTCAGGGCAACAATGTCTAAATTTTATTGGATGTACAAACTAGTTGTTGCATAAAGAACATTCTCACTGCTGTTCAAAACTGACACGACTCAACCACTCTGTAGCATACCAGCTGCCCAGATGCAGGAATCTCTATAGAGAGAGATCCTTTTTCCCACGTACCATCAGGAAATGGAATAGCTTGCCGGCTGACACTGCCCTCAGTAACAACTTAAGTCCAAATTGTAACCCCCTGAAACCTCCAATTCCTCAGTGTATTTTACCCCCCCAGCGCAGTATACCCGACACGGCAACATAATCTTTGGCAAGTCGAAGGCGGTCGCCTATGGAAAGAAGAAAATGTAGTCTCTTGCCAACAAGGAGAAGTTGTCTATGGACCTCAAACTGAAGGCTAAAACAGCCAGAATCTGACAGCAGCTGTTTAGCAGCTGTTTACCTCTGGAAGCGCTGTGTCTCCACGGGCAGCAGGTGCTTGATGTCAGCGCTGCCGGCGAAGATGCCCTCCAGGTAGACCCAGCGTCGCTGCACGTCGATCCACACGTCGAACAGCGCGTTGATGCGGTTCAGCTTGTCTTCCCAGGACAGCGCATCCTCCTCAAACACCTAAAACAGCAGCAACCATCTTTACACACAGGATAATCAGAGCTTACAGGGTAATCAGCTACTCTAACAATAACCTTTCCCTTCTCTTCCCAGGACAGCGCATCCTCCTCAAACACCTAAAACAACAGCAATCATCTTTACACACAGGATAATCAGAGCTTACAGGGTAATCAGCTACTCTAACAATAACCTTTCCCTTCTCTTCCCAGGACAGCGCATCCTCCTCAAACACCTAAAACAACAGCAACCATCTTTACACACAGGCAAGAGCTTACAGGGTAATCAGCTGCTCTAACAATAACCTTTCCCTTCTCTTCCCAGAACAGCGCATCCTCCTCAAACACCTAAAACAACAGCAACCATCTTTACACACAGGCAAGAGCTTACAGGGTAATCAGCTACTCTAACAATAACCTTTCCCTTCTCTTCCCAGAACAGCGCATCCACCTCAAACACCTGGGAAAATAGCAACCATCAACAGCTTTAACTAACAGTTAAAAGTAACAGTTAAACAGTTATAACTTGTCCTCCCAGTAGTAAAGTTAAAAAGTTAACAATTCTCTCTCAATTTTACAACTCTAACTTTTCCCTTGACCTTGACTGTAGATGACCTTGAACTGACCTTGTAGTAGGGCGAGAGCTTCATGGCGGCCACGCTGTTGATGTGCTCCTTGACCTTGTTGAAGAGGTCGTCCCAGCCTCTGATCAGCCGGCACTTGTTCTGGTAGTTTACCAGGTCCAACTCATACGTCTGCCAAGCCTCACGCACCTACAGACGGACGGACAAACAAACAAACATTGTCACTTGTTCTGGTAGTTCACCAGGTCGAGTTCGTAGGTCTGCCAGGCCTCACGCACCTACAAACAAACAAACAAACAAACATTGTCACACACATCACGTACCTGCAGACAGTCAGATAAAAGGTTGGCAAACATTTCCGTAAATGTGATACGAAACCAAGTGCTGATTGCCCACAAGAGAGCATCATTGAAGATAGCAAAACATTAAAAATGGTGCCATTGTGAACATTTTCTTTGCACAACATTTCAATTCTGGCAAAACATTTCAATTCTTGGATGAACTGAAGGCAAGGAAACTGTAGTGCAGGTAAAATTTGTCTGGTGTAGGTAACTTTGCCTGCACCAGTGCAGGTATGGAAGGAAAAGGTATTTCAAGCCCTGGACAAGGACTACAGAAGTCAGACTCATCCTTGTCACCTGCTTAAGAACCCTTCTCACCTGCTTAACCCTTGTCCTGCGGAGCACAATTGATGTTCTGTACATACAGTACCATCTATATAGCACCCTGTATAGGTACAATTTGGGGGTATCACACCGCAGCAAAACTCAACAAATGCGGAAGTAACTAGCATATAGTATTGCAGGGAAAAAATTTGGGGGTCTATGATCTAATTAAGACATGAAATTATTGAAAAATATTGTGCCAGGAATGTCAGCAGGACAAGGGTTAAGAACCCTTCTCACCTGCTTATGAACCCTTCTCACCTGCTTAAGAACCCTTCTCACCTGCTTGAGGAACTCCTCCAGGGCCATTTCGCCCTGCGCCACGAGGATCACGTCCTTCACGATCCCCTCGTTCTTCTGCAGGTCGACGTCCCAGATGTGTCCCAGGGTCAGCTCCGACAGAACCCACTTCACCCGCAGCCGCTTCATCAGCTGCTTCCAGTGGCGCTCCTTCAGCGCGTCCGACTTCAGCTCAACAACGAGCATGTTGATCTGCAGGGGGTAAACAACAACAGATCAACAACGAGCGAACAACAGCTCCGACAGAACCCACTTCACCCGCAGCCGCTTCATCAGCTGCATCCAGTGGCGCTCCTTCAGCGCGTCCGACTTCAGCTCAACAACAAGCATGTTGATCTGCAGGGGGTAAACAACAACAGCTCAACAACGAGCAAACAACAGCTCCGACAGAACCCACTTCACCCGCAGGCGCTTCATCAGCTGCTTCCAGTGGCGCTCCTTCAGCGCGTCCGACTTCAGCTCAACAACAAGCATGTTGATCTGCAGGGGGTAAACAACAACAGATCAACAACGAGCATGTTGATCTGCAGTACAGGAGACAACATCAGAAACAAAACATAGGACTTCAACTCCACAACAAGCATCTACAAGGAGCAATATTTATGTGTTTATTTACGTGTTATTTGTTTGTTTACCTTCTGGTAGCTCTTGACGACACGTGAGACGTAGTCGTAGCTGCTGTACTGGCGCAGGCGAGACGGCATGTTCTTCAGCTGCGTCTGCAGGTTGTCCAGCGACTGTCGCAGCTGCAGGAACAACAGGCAACAGGAGTTAGTAACGCGCAAACAACTATTCAGCTCTTCAATGTACCTAGAAATCTCTTGCTAGTGGCTACAACCTTACCGATGCAGATGTGTGTACACTGTCAGTTAACTATGCGGATGAATACACAAAGTCATACTGTCTAGCACAGAGTATGGCAGAGCCATAGATGTAGATAATGCAGTACACAATGAGACATACACACACTGTCACACACTCAATCAATGATAAAGATATTCAGTCTAGACCACCTGACTGCACAATAGCTATGCTGTAAACAGGACTGTGCACACCTTCCTGGGCTGCATCAGACTAATGAAACAAACAAACAAACAAACAAACCTTCCTGGGCTGCACGGAGAGCCAAGTTGTCTCCTTGAGCTGGTCAATCTGCTCCCAAACCTTTGACAGCTCCGACCAGACTCCCTTCAGGTCCTGCAGCTCCTCCAGAGCCACCGTCACACGTTCTTCTGACGCAGACAACATGCCTGCAGAAATATAGCATTGGTTACATCCCTAGCCCTAACATTAACCCAACCGTCACACGCTCCTCCGATGCACTCAACATGCCTGCAAAAAACATTACAGACTTACTACATGCCTGCAGGATAACAACATTACAGACTTACTACATGCCTGCAGGATAACAACATTACAGACTTACTACATGCCTGCAGGATAACAACATTACAGACTTACTACATGCCTGCAGGATAACAACATTACAGACTTACTCTAACCCTAACCCATTACACACTCCTCAGACGCACTCAACATGCCTGCAACAGACAGCAGGAAAATAACACTAACATTAACCCAACTGTCACACGCTACTCAGACGCACTCAACATACTTGTAATGGACAGCTGGAAAACAACATTACATTATCTGACTTACTTACCTCTAAACCTAACCCTAACCCTAACCAAAACCCAAACCCTGAACCAAACCCTAACCCAACCTTACACTCACTCCTCAGACACACTCAACATGCTCTACAAACAACATTAGAGACAGGCATGCAAATAGCTTCTTTGGATTCTTCTTAACAGTTAAGGACAGTTTGTAACTGAATTTTAGCATGCATCTTTAAGAACCTGATCATAACTTACCTGGATCCTGCAGCTCCAGAGCCTCCTTGGCTCGAGCCAGGTTGTCTCTGTCCTCCTTCAGCCGGCTGAACTTCCCCTCGAAAATGGCCAGAGCGTTGAGCGCCTTGTCCGGACGCTGCCCACCCTGGGGAGTTAGACATCGGGGTTACTTTCAACATTTCCACTGACGTTCTGTGCTACTTGTATGTAGTAGCACAGAACCCGAACATTCTGTATCAATACAGAAGAATTTATAGTTTCTTGTCAGAAGAGTCTATCTGTTCCCACCGATGCATAATCTCCCTCCCCTTGTCCTATAATTGCTCATGTCCTTGGTACTGAAATGGACAATCCATTGGTTATACTACCAGCTGTAGGTTTAGCAGTACTAGCAACACATTTTCTTTCCAATTTGAAGATACAGATGTTCCATACTTACTTCCACAGGTTTGTTCTTCTCCCAGTCTGAGAGAAGCTCTGTGCTGCGAGTTTCCACGCTGTGATCTTCCTCCACAATCTTCATCTGCAGGCTGGCAATCTGCAAAGAATTAAAGTATAGTTTTCATCTTACTAAACTCAGGTAATATACTAGCATCCAAAAAAGGTTTATTTCATAACTGCTGGCCACCTGCTTTGCAAGCACACTGAACAGAAACTAAGGTACATGGTGGGCATTACAGTTGAGCCAAGCAAGTTTCGACTGTTGTCCTATGGAAAGTGACAGACTGCATTGCGGAAGTTTGACTTTTACTAACAGTTTAGTTATTAGAGATACTGCAATTCAATGTGTTAAGCTCAGAAAATATAATGCTTGACAGGGCTATGTGAAGGGAAATGTGTACTAGCTCGGTCCTGGCTGTTACAGACAGATAGATGATGTATACAGTACCTGTGTCTGGATGGCCGAGTCCTTCCTCTTCATGATCTCAGTGAAGGCTCCCCACTCGCCCAGGATGTTATCCACGTACAGCCAGGAGGACGGGAACTGGAAACGCTGCTTCTCCAGGATTCTCTGACCATTCTGGTACACCTAAATACAAACAAAGAAACAAACAAACAAATAAACAAACCTGTCACAAACAATGCTGCTTCTCCAGGATTCTCTGACCGTTCTGGTACACCTAAATACAAACAACCAAATTACATAATTCCACAAGTCTGAAATCACTTAACCTTGTATCTTGTAAACAATTGCATTACACAACTCTACTGTCTACACACAAAAAAAAAGTTACTCTAGCAACTAGATATGATTTTGTAAACAGATGTTTCAGGTACCTTTCACTACCTTTCGTCAGTGACACTGGAGAGTTGTCAGAAAAGCAGGTTTATAAGTACGAACAATCGCAAAGCCTTGATGTGCAAATAAGTGAAGACAAATCTTTTGAAACAAAAGTAAGACAAGTCAATACAAGGTCTACTGTCTACTATAATGTAAACCACGCAGAGTGACAGGCAATACGTACGTCGACTTGCTTCTCCCAGCTGCGGACCTTGCGCTTGAGTGACTGGACATACGTGATGAAGCTGACGGCATCGGAGGTGCTGGCAGTCTCCACCGAGTGCTGCTCCAGCTCAGTACGGCTCTGTATGGGGGATAACAACACAGCTCAGTACAGCTCTGTATGGGGGATAACAACACAGCTCAGTACGGCTCTGTATGGGGGATAACAACACAGCTCGGTACGGCTCTGTATGGGGGATAACAACACGTCTCACAACTGCACAGTAACAACCCACATCAATAACAGTAGCCCACCAGTAGCTACCATGCTGTCTCCATGGAGTGCTGCTCCAGCTCAGTACGGCTCTGTATGGGGGATAACAACACAGCTCAGTACGGCTCTGTATGGGGGATAACAACACGTCACAGCTCGGTACGGCTCTAAGGAACAACATCAACACATCTCACTACCGCACAGGGCAACTACTGGGCCTGAGACTTTAACATTTATAACATTCTTTCTCTGGAGTGCTGCTCCAGCTCTGTACGGCTCTGTATGGGGATAACAACAAGTCACAGCTCAGTACGGCTCTGTATGGGGGATAGCAACACGTCTCACAACTGCATATCTCAGAACAGTGCATTTAATGACAGCAGCATATGTACACCAGAAGCTACTGTGCTTTGTACACCACACCCAAGACATTAAGAAATGTAACATTCTTTCTCTGAACTCAAAAGCTCAATGAGACATACAAGTCTGGCTTGATGATTATTTTTCACAACTCAGAATGTCTCTCACCTTGGAGACGGTGTCGTAGAACTCCACCATGGACTCTCCCAGCATGCTGCCAAACTTGCCCAGAATCTCCTTGTGCCACGAGTCGTACTTCAGGTTCACTTTCGACTGGACCTAAAACAGGACAGGAAACAGGCATAACTAACAGAGTTCTGAACTTGTGCCACGAGTCGTACTTCAGGTTCACTTTCGACTGGACCTAAAACAGGACAGGAAACAGGCATGCCTTCAACTACCAGAGTTATATCAACTGAGGATTGAGGTGTCTTTTCTTTCAAAGAACTATTATTGTGGAACTTGTTACCACCATGTACAGTTGCGGCATCATTGCTAGATAGCTTTAAACAATGCTTACAGTTAGTTAGATGTGCAAAGTTAGATGTGTAACAGGTTGTTCAGTATAATATAGCCAGCTGCCACTGCGCTGTCATGAATGCCTGTTACACTGGTGTGTTACACTGAAGGGTGGTTATACCGGCTATACAGATAGACATGGTTCAAACAGGCTGCTTTAAAAGATGGTTCCAGGACAGGACAAAAAAATGTTATCACTAAACTTCACCATGCAACTCAATATTACAGGTTGGCTGTTAGAGGTCAAAGTCTTACCTTGCCAAACTCGATCACAATCGGCCCGAATTCCTTCCGCACCTCCGCAGTGTCAAAGGTTGCCCGAGACTGCCTACAGAAACAGATTCCGGCCGTGTTATTTCAGGCTGTCCAACTGAAGCATGGCAGAGCACCAGGCTTCTACCCAAGCACCCGTGGTCCTGTACAACTTCATTCTAAGCTAAGACAACTGCATTTTTAATGTATTATGCTATCACATGAATACAGTCAGTCTTCCTGACATCATCACATTTCAGACTTCCTGAGAGTCAGCAAGTGCATCATACATCTGAAGGTTGACAAGATTGACCGAAAATTTATGGTGAGTTCCCTTCTTGTGTTGGAACAAAGCTTTAGGACTCTATAACTATGAATTCTACCAACAGAGATGAGCTTTCATTCTAACACTCTTCCTGTGTTAATCAGTTTCTACAAATGTTTTCAAATGTACGTCTATGTTCGAAACGCAGCAGGCGTATCTTACGCAACTGGATATGATTTTGGAAACGGTCCGACATTTCAGGTAGCATCCACTACCTTACACCAGTGACACTAAGAGACTGCAGGAGAAGTGTTTGTAAGTACGAACTATTGACTTACTTGACTTCAACGATGACATTGACCCAACGCTGGATGCCCTCCCCGATACGGTTGTAGACCTGGTCAGGAGTCAGGTCCCACAGGGCCTGGTACTGGAGCCAGGACTGAAACACACAGCGTCACATGTCAGTTACTACAGTAACATCTATCTAACCCTAACCCTCCCCCTCACTTCTATCTAAACCTAACCCTCCCCCTCAGGTCCCACAGGGCCTGGTACTGGAGCCACGACTGAAACACACGGCATCACATGTCAGTTACTACAGTAACTTATACCTAACCCTAACCCTCACCCTCACTTCTATCTAACCCTAACCCTCCCCCTCTGGTCCCACAGGGCCTGGTACTGGAGCCAGGACTGAAACACACGGCGTCACATGTCAGTTACTACAGTAACTTCTACCTAACCCTAACCCTAACACACGGCAGCACATGTCAGTTACTACAGTAACTTCTATCTAACCCTAACCCTAACACACGACATCACATGTCAGTTACTACAGTAACTTCTATCTAACCCTAACCCTAACCCTCAGGTCCCACAGGGCCTGGTACTGGGGCCAGGACTGCAGACAGAATCACATGATCATTGATGACTGAACTGTTAGAATGAATGGTTTAGTTACATCCTCATTATCATTACAGATCGTACAGTGGCAGCCTTTGACGGCTAAAGGAAAGTATGATTTACGATTAAAATACAGTAATTAAATAAAAGATAAAAGAATATATACATAAACATTTAGAACCTTACAGTGTGCTTGTCTTATTGCTTATTTATGACGCGAACCCTTTGTTGTTGAGTAGGTCTACTAGGTAAGGCAATGTCCTCTTGTGATATCTGGCAGTTCTACATTTGAACTGCGTTATCTGGTCTCTAGACGTAAGATTCTTGCCATGAAGACTTACACAGTTTGGCAGCCCGCAACCCACAATTGAAGCAGCAATTGTTTCACAAAACCTTCCACTAACACAGAAAGCATGACATATAACTTCAGTTTACTTACAGCTACATAGGCATTGGTCTTGACGACGACATCTTCGATGGCCTGGAAAGCCACGTCCATGGCATGTTGACCGTCAGGCAGTTTGGTCAGCAGGTTACGGTAGGTCGTCTCTCTCTCAGACTCCCCGCGTTCCAGCCCAACCTGCAACCCAGCCACAAACAGATCATGTACACGTGGTGCACAAGAAAAGTTTTACCTGGCACACGCGGATTGACTTTTTGTAGTTCGGTGCTTCTGGGGGCGACACCCAGTAATGTTCCTCATACCAAATATTGCCTTTATCTGTTTTGCGATTTTAACGATTTTAGATATTTTAAGCGAATTAATATTGCCTGCCAATTTGTACACGAGTCTGTCAATTCAGCCTCTTGGCTGCCATGTGACTTGTCTTTGATTTTAATAATAAACCAGTCTACTACTACTACCTACTAGTAGAAGGAAAGATGAATCTTGCATTTTCATGTGTGTGAGTGTGTGAGTGTGTGTGAGAGTGTGTGTGTGTGTGTGTGTGTGTGTGTGTGTGTGTGTGTGTGTGTGTGTGAGGCGTGTGTGTGTGTGTGAGAGCGTGTGTGTGTGTGTGTGTGTGTGTGTGAGCGTGTGTGTGTGTGTGTGTGTGCGTGTGTATGTGAGTTTGTACCCACCTGGTAACGAGAGCTCTGTATCCTGGGCAGTGTGGTGATGACCTGCTCCCAGTCGTGCAGCTGCTGTGTGTGTGTGTGTGTGTGTGTGTGTGTGTGAGCGTGTGTGTGTGAGCACGTGTGTGCATGTACCCACCTGATAACGAGAACTCTGTATCCTGGGCAGTGTGGTGATGACCTGCTCCCAGTCGTGCAGCTGCTGAAACAGCCGCATGCGGACGTTCTCCAGCGGCGGCTCCAGGTAGATCACCTGGTTCATCAGCCGCAGCTCGTAACGCAGGGTCTGCGCAGGAAACATGGGAGGGTTAGGAACAGTTGTATGCAGCAAAGCCACGCAGCGAGCAGCACAGGCAGAAGCTAGGGGGGCTTTTTGGAAATTTGTAATGCTTGAAAACACTACTTCCTGCATTTTGAGGTGCAAATTTTGAGGAGTGCAAGTTAAGGGTTGGGAGTGGAAAAATAGGGCGTCTTTCGAGAGGAATCCACTTACAGAATCTGATGTGAAATGAAGGAGTCAATTCAGGTGTACATCATATTAGTTTACCATGTTTGTAGCAAGATAGCAATTGTGAGATCTGTCTCCTTTTCCCCTCTAGTCAGATATATGGGAATTTGGCTTTATACAGTAACTATAGCAAGTAAAATACCTAAGGTAAGAACTGTTTACCTGTTACCAAAAATATTTTAGCTTACGAGTCTCTTTCGTCCACTCTGCAACCAGGAGAGGGGACGAAAAAGACTCGGCAGATAAATAGGTTTGGTCACCTGACTACAACTGACCCTTTGAGCAGAAAGGTACTCAAAGAAAAGACAAGTAATAAAATTATGTTACAAGTGGGATATCACAGATAAGAAAGTTAAAAAAATGTACCATTGACACTTAAGTAACCAACGTTACTTAAAGGAAAGGCTCTTGGCAACCGTCTGTCTCCATAGACAATGGTTCCTTATAAAGGACAGACTGGTCACCTGCAGTTTGGGGTCTCCTCCGGGTTTGTGAGCCGGAGCGACGTCGTTGTCCATGTCTTGGTTCGCCTGGTCGTCATCTCCCTCTTTCAGCAGCACCTCCGTCCACGCCTTCAGTCCCGCCTGGAGCCGAGTGGCTAGCTTCTTCTCGACCTAACAACACAGAAAACATGTTTCACATCACATCCACATCCTAACCCTAACTGTCCAGGCCTTCAGTCCAGCCTGGAGCCGCGTCGCCAGCTTCTTCTCAACCTACAAACACGAAATAACATTGTTCACATCCCATAGCCCTGACATCCTACCTCCTACAACTAACCCTACCCAAAACCCTCCACGCTTTCAGTCCCGCCTGCAGCCTAGTGGCCAGCTTCTTCTCAACCTACAAACACAGAAAAACATGTTTCACATCACATCCACAACCTAACCCTAACCATCCACGATTTCAG